CATCCCCAAGTCTCAAAGATACCAGAGATGTAAAGATGGTGTGCTTTGAGAAGCTGTTGATCTGCTCCCGAAATATCAGCAAGTTCAGGGGAGAGAAACACTTTTCCCATTTCCATCCTGCCAGCACCACTCTGTGACAGTAGCTGACATACCCTCAGAAGGTCAACCCAATGAGATTACTTGCTGATGCTTACCATAAGCACAACACCTAGCCTGTTATCATTGATGTTAGTTTAATTAATCAATTACATATTCTTCACACTGATTTGCATTAAACTCTACTACTGAATATGTACTGTACAGCTATCACACCACAGAGTATATCATAAACAAATATCCTACATTTTAGATGTACTACAATAGCCATGCTAGCTGGCCTAATCCCTACTGCAAACTGTGTGAAAATGAAAGGTACACAATAAAAGAACAGTATTTTGGAAGATGCTCTCCTCCTACTCTGTAAGTAAGGAAAAATAGTTATTTTGCTGACTCTGCTAATAGATGAGTATTTGTACAAGGGAAAGGCAAACTGCACTCCTTGTTTGTACTCTTGGAGAAATAGTTGTAATAGATAAGAATGAATTAGCATTGCACACATTAACTCTCCTATGCATTAAAAAAAACTCTGTTTAACTGTAATGAATATCATCTTTAAGCAAGCCATGTTGAGCTACAGAATGCAGTTATTTCAGAAGCTGCACATCAAACATACAAGCTTTCACATGAATACAAGAAAAAAGATTGTTATGAGCATGTGTTACATTAAATATTCTTTGATTTCACAGAAAAATGTAGAAAAAGAATGAAAACTGCGCACAGACTCATGGGAATGGTTGCATATGTATTATTTCATACACCTAACCTATATATGATCAACATACATGACCTACACATGATTTCCCATTTTATTACACACAATCTTCCATTTTAAAAAAATCTTTAATAAATAAAAGCAATCCTAACCATTTCCCCCCTTTCTCAAGAATGTGAACTTGTCATAATTCCTGCACTTTTCAAAATTCACGCATGAAAATTTCACATTCTTCTCCTGTCTCAAGCCAATGGTAGACTGGCCTATGACTTATGGATAACTAGAACAGTACCAGCCTAGTTCTGACCTAGTAGACTGAGAAATCTTCCAAGCAAAGTTCTCAGGGCTGGGGCAGACACAAATTAACGGGTGAAAATGTGTGGTTTTTTTCTTTTGACCATCTAGAACACCAGCAACATTAATGTACCGCCGGAGGTCAGAGAGTTTCCAAAATGCCCCACTCTCTCTTGGAGGTGACCAGGCGAGAAACGGAGGAGGTTGGCAGGGGTTGTTTGCTGCCGTCGCGAGACTGGCGGAAGGGATTCTCCTGCATCCTTGCCTCTCCCTCTCCCACTCCCCAACCCCCTCTTCAGACAAAGAAGGTAAGACCCAGCTCGCCCTCTCTCCTTAGCTTCCAACCAGGCCAATCCCTGCCTCCAAGGCCGGGCCGGGAAAGGTGGACGGTCACCCCAAGGAAGATGACCGCGCTCCCCTCTCCCTCTGCCGGTCCAGCCTTCTTCCCTCTCCCCTCTCGGTGGCCTACGGCGAAGGGGGCGCCGCTTGCCGCCCCGCCGCTGCCATTGTGGCTCTCCCACCTGTTTGGCGAGGAACCTGCTGAGCTCGCTGCTGCTCCTCTCGTTCCTTTGCGCTATTAGCTGCAACGGGGCCGCTAGGCTGAGCTGAAGATGCTCCATCTTTAGGAGCTCCCGGGAGTCCCTTCGCCTCGAGGGGCCCTTTGCCCGGGGAAGGGAAAGGGGGTGTGCACGCCAAGCTGTCCAGCAACCACTCTCCGCCACCCACTGCTAGAAGCGCGACACGTGGGAAAAGAGAGCGACTTTCGGTTTTCCCCGGAATGCTTACGTCATCTTCCAGCGACACAAATCCCCGAAGGAGCTTGCTTGGTGTTGGCTTCTGGCTGCTCCTCCCCTTGGAGAACCCCGAAACAAAACAACAAAACCCACCCCTGCGCGGACCCCGTTATGCACTGCGACGCTTCTCCATAAGACACACGTTTAATAACTTACTATTATTACTGTGTAATTATTTTTATATCTGTGTAATTGGGTTGCTGGGGTCTGTTCCCCACGCTGAGTTCTAGGTCCCGAATTGCTCGAAGATGTATTTTCGTTACTGCTTCTCCATAACTATTTCTCAAAAATGGCTTTAATGGACTTCTCAGAGGAACAGAAGGGGTTGGGCTGTAGTAACAAACGTTCTCATATGAAAGTAATTCCCGTTGAAATCTATGGGCTATTCTCAGAAAATAATGAATTGCCATGTTCGGTAACAAAGCTCCTCTTTCCACTCCAGATCTACATTATTTTCTCTAAACAATTAAAACGAATACATTCGAATTAACCTGCACAGAATTCCAACACATTTGTGAAATCCTATAATCCTTTATTTAGGAGCAAGTTCCATTTAATTAATTGAAGACTTTCCTAAAACTGCAGTTTGATACATTTGCCTTCTCCTATAAATCGAGAACTTGTCTTCTCAGTATTTTCTTGCATAGAAGGGTTGAGAGGATGGTAGAAATGTTGCATAGAACCCCCAGTTGCCAAAAAGTTTCCCATCACTGTAGTAGTTCTAGATAAAGGCTTAAGATTTCTCAAAGATTAAACTATGTTATCATACTGTTAGAGCACAGGGATCCATAAAATAGCCAGCTGCATTTTGGCCCTACCACTATGATCATGTATGTTTCATGCTGGCATAAGCTGTATTCACAACCAATATAAGATAGTCTTTGTCATACTCAGCAACTAGCTTTTGAATAGCCATTATTCTATATGAATTTCCTACATTTTATTTGCCTGTTACTTTACCATTTACTATTCTAGCTTCCTTTCCCAAACAAGCACTTACATGTGAAGCACTTACATGTGATAGTCCCCTGGACTGCAGTGCAAAAACAGATATGGTCATCTTTAAGAACTAGTATTAAAATAGTTCTGATGAACTCTGATACTCTTTAGATCTTATTCTCCAATACTGGCAAAAGCTCCTGAATAACCTTACTATGAAAATTAGCAAGCAATAGTTATATGAGTATATGAACATGAAGTACAGTACAGAATAAAGAACAAGTAGTCTGACCCTTCAAAGGTGTCAAACAAGCTACAGCACCCTAAGTACTAAACCCATAAAGCATTGTCTATAAATCATAATGGCAAATAAAATCAAATAAGCGTATATTCAGTGCAGCGTATAAATCAGACTGGGCCATAAAAAATCATGCTGTAAAAAAAACAGTAGCCTATATGGTCTACAAGAGGCTTTGTTGCTTTTGCTACAGCAGAGTATATAGGAGCTTAACTTCAAACTACTGTATGAGATTTGAAGGATACTCCTCACACAGCATTATTATACTCCCAATACTATGTAGATAGTACATTTTAAACATTTAATTCAGTAGCAGATATCTATTTAAAAATATTTTTGTGACTCCTTAATAAGCTTGAAGTGTCTATTACAGATTGTAGCACATAACATTAATATCCATTCCTTTGGAAATGTGGCTTATGAACACTGATTCTCCTTAAAATTAGACCGTATAATTGCAGTCCTAGATACACTGTTTTACTAAGGTATTCTTGTTATAAACAACTTCAAAATCAACATAGGTTAGTAGCATAAACATAAATACATAGAACAAATAACTTTAACCAGTTCTGAATATTTTGTCAGGAGAGTTGTGTTCAGAGAATTTATAAATCAAGCATTTTAATTACATGGTGTCTTGCATATACTTAATCGAAGAGTATGTCAGCTTGAATAAGGCTTTCTGCTGACACAGAATCAACTTTTTCTCTTATTTGCTTCATTTCTAAAAATCACACAAAGCAAAAGCAAAGCAACACTGCACAATGGGAATAATCCTATTTCATTTTTGATTGAAAAACTAGAAGAAACTTAGTCAGATAATATTTATATATTTACTTACATAATTCATATAAAAACTACTACTACATCTAAACTACAAATATTCTATTGGAACCTTACAGATAAACAATTCAATCCTATATAGGGTCACTCAGAAGAACATTCCAAAATATACAATGGATCGATTCCCTAGGTGGGTTTATCTTTCTATACAATACACAGCAATACTTGGCAAGAGTACATATTACTAACTGGTGCTATGCGTGCTTTCAGTTTTGTTATTATTCAGTGGTCTTCTCACATGTATGTGATTGTTGTCTTATAATGAGGCCACTGTATTATGCTTACAAGGGTACGAAATATAGAAAATGCAAACAGGACCTATTTTTTTCTCTAAAATTCTGTCTACGCACCAGCTACCAAGAAGAGGATACTGTATGTATCAGATGGATTCTAATAACTACTTAACCAAGTAAAATCTTATTATCAAACTTGATTTCTGGTAATTTCATGGGCACATCTACAAAGTTTTCTTCAGCAAGGAGGCATAAGTGGTTTGCCATTTTCTTCATTTGGGATATTCTTTTTTTTTTTTTTTTCCATTTTCACATTTCTTGGTGGTCCCCAATCCAAGGACTAATCAGGTCAGACCCTCTCTAGTTTTTTGAGATCAGCCAAGATTGGCTCGGGTCAATAATATTATCCGTCAATTACAAAACGTTGTGATTTCTCCTGGCTTCGACCTTAGACTGCCTTTACAAAAGCGAAACTCCTATAATTAGCGAAACAAAATACGCCAAGAGCACCTGCCTTTTAAAATAAACCCACACGAAAACGTTCCCGTTCAATTACACGATTCGTTTCAACAACACCCTCCAGCCCAAACACACCCACCCGCCTGCGTAAAGGCGGGCTTAAGGTAATTATGGTAGGCTGGACTTGCTGCTGCTTTTTGGCGCCAAATGTTTTCCTGGCGGAGGTGGGATCTAGTGATGTCACGCGAGTGTACGTGCTTCGGCGTCTTGAGTGATTGGTTACGCTTTCCTGGCCCCACCCACCCCCACCGGTTTGGCCTGTGGGGGACGGCTGGCGAGAAAGGCAAGGGGATGAAGCTCTGGCGGGGTTGAAGGGGGGCTCCGCCACTCCCGTTGAAACAGGGAAAGGAACGGCAGCCTCGTCACTTCACTCCGGTTCGTGAGAGGGAAAGAGGGTTGATGGAGGTCTCGGCGGGGTCGTGGGGGAGCTGATGCGGGCTGCTAGTGCTTCCTCTGAACCCCCCGTTCGCCTCTATATCCGCTCCGCTCCGAGCATCTGCCGTCGCCTTCCCCAACCTGCTGCCTGCCAGATGTGCTGGCCTTCAGCGTCTGCAATTCCAGCCAGTCTGTAGGCTACCGCATCTGGAGGACACCAGGTTGCGGAAGGCGGACGTACCACCCCGCGCCCACGCTTTGCCCTGCTTTCCGTAAGCTTGGCCCAGTCAACCTTCGGCCGCTCCAATGAAGGAGCGGAATTTCTGAGGTGACAAAATGGGTTACCCCTCCTCGGACTTCAGTGGGTCCCTCTTGCAGGCTCGCTGCGCTGTGTAAACAACCCTCATGGCACGTCAGAAACTAGCACTAGAGCAGATTGTGTCGGGACATCTCTTCTGATTCCCTTCTCTCGCTTTTAATAGTAGCTCAGGGAACAACTGAAAATAGCTGTCTCTGCTTCCCTTCTAGACATAACTAGCCTCTTAAGGTTCCACCACTCCATTCTATTTCTGGTGTAGTTTGGTTTTTCAGTCTTGTTCTAGGTTCACAAAGAACATGTGCAGAGTGCTCTACCACTGAATTGGGGAAAAACATTAAAGCTGTAAGACTACTGTTAGATCTTTTTTGGAAGTCCTTTTCTTGGCACCTCCGTCAAGTTAAGCGTGATGGATGATGACTGGAGAGGATGTTTTGGGTGAGAACACCTTTGTTATGGTTTGTTCTTTCAGGCAGAAAATAACAGGATTCTGATAGTCTTACTGATTATTACTTTGGCTTTTTTTCCCCCCCACACGGATGTATCAGAATCTGCCTACTTACCACCTACCATTATTTATTTATTAGATTTCTATTACACTTTTCATTCAGGAGCTCAAAGCCACATAGTGCTTTCTCCTTCTATTTTCTCCACCAACAGCAACCCTGTGATGCAGGATGGGTTGAAAGAGACTGGGCCAAAATTATCCAATGAGCTTCTGTGACTGAGGGTGGACTAGAACCTGGGTCTGACTGCTCCTAGTCCAATACCCGTAACCACTACAGTTGGAAAACTCGTATGAAAGGATCTGATTGTTGAAATATTTACATATTTATTAGACTTATGTCCCACCTTTTGTTCAGGAGTTCAGCATGACATACATAATGCTATATTCTCCCATTTTTTTCTCTGCAGCAATCCTGTGAGAAGTAGATTGGGCTAAGAGACAGTGACTGGCCCAAAGTAAACCCAATGAGCTTTTGTGGTTGCCATTCATTTAAAATGATGGACAGTTTGCAGGCTACGTGTGGCCCTTAGATTACATGGTGAATATAAGCCAGTAGTGTGACATGGCTATCAAAAAAGCAAAAGCAGTTTAAGGCCACACCAGTAGAAAAACAGTTTCTGAATCACAGGAAGTGATAGTTTCACTTTGTTCTTCATTGGTTCTTGAGTACTGTGCTCAGTTCTGGGTATCATAAAAAGAATTCAGATAAATGGAACAGGTGTAGAGATGGAAAACAAATATAACTAAGGGAAACTAAATCATATGAGGAGAGATTGAAGACATTGGGCATGTTTAGTTTTGAGAAGGGATATGTAAAGAAAATCAGCATTCTTCAAATACTGAATGAATGTCACGCAGAAAAAGTCCATGACATAACCTATTCTCTATCAAGCATAGAATAAATGGTTCCAAGTTACAAGAAGTCAGATTCCAGTTAAAAGCTAGGGAAAACTTCATGATGGGAAAAGCAGATATGGTTCCAACGGTGAAACCAATTACCCAAGAAGTTCTTTGCTCCCTTTCAATGGAAGTGTTTAAGCAAAGTTTAAATAGCCATCTGTCAGGGATAGTTCATTTTTGGTTTCCTGCACTGCACCTGGTTTAGATGTGATGGCTGAGATAACCTCTTCCAATCTACAATTCTCTGTTGGGTGAATTGCTAGCAGATTATTTTATGGTGGTGAAGAAACTTCCTTTCTCGGTTTGACTGAAAAAAGCATTAGACAGCTTGGTGGGCTGCCAAGTGACATTATTTTCCAAAAAAAACGGATTCATGGAAGAGAGATGAAGGTCCTCCCTCCCACAACTCTGTTTAAAATGTGGGATGGAGATATGTGCATATGTACAGATACTCTCTTTGACCCTGGGCCAGGCTGTGTATTCCTGATATAAAATTATGTTTGTCTTGTGGTTTAGACTGATGTCCTAAATTTTTCTGCCAAACCTAGATGGGGTATACTTAGGAAGAGCTTATAATGGGAACAGAGGAGGAGGAAGATGGAATGACACTTTCTAATCTATATGGCAGTAAGTAAATTTGATTGCTTTATTTTTTTGGGCACATCAGAAAAAAGTTCTATTGTATGGTATTGTCTAGAAGAACGGTGGAAAAAAGCCATATAACATATTTCAAAAGGTTCAATTTAGGTAGATTCTTGTGTATGACTGTTATAAGTCATACTGTGTCAGGAGTTATTCCTGCCAATGGTGCAATATCATAACTTCATTTCTTGCACTACTGAAGGAGGTCAAGAAAAGGAGTTTGCTGATAAGTTCTACTGTATGTTATTTTAACAATCTTTTTATTCTTCAAAGGCAAAGTTGTGCTGATGAGCATAGAATATCCTCTTGATTATGATGATATAAGCAACTCTTGACATTGTTCCAGCAATTCTCCTGGCTGATAGGACTAGGCTGGTATTACTGTCAGTTAAATAGACAGAAACTAGGCATTAGAATTTCTGAGGTTTAATGCTAGATTATGTTGTAATGTCACATTATTTCTGACACAACAATAATTGATCAATTATTCTTTTAATGTACTTTTTATTTTATAAAATCAAGCTGCTGAACTCATAGTTTGAACAGAGATGCTAGTCTCATGGTGCTTTTCGAAATTCAAATTTGCACTCAAGAGTCAAAGGCATGGCTTCGATAAATAAGCTGCTACTATTGCAGATAAAAAATAAAGAGCAACTTCTGTAAATTCTAGGAATCAAGCCATATTTATATCAGCCCAGGATTTAAATCCTATACATTTTTCTCACCCTTGCATGGTAACAGATTTTTTGTCATTTGCTTATTAACTTTGGATGTGGAAAGCACCTGTACAATGTTTTGGTAATGGTCCTGTCAAGTCTCAGACTCCTTCTGACCTTACCTGCTTCAACCCTCACAAGTCCCCTCTTCCACAGTTACTTTTATTCCACAGGACAAAACATATAGGTATTTCTTTCCCCAGGTGTTATTAGTCAGGAAAAATGCATGAGGAAAAGTTTAGAAAGCTTATTTTCTTATATCTTTCATGTTCACTTTTAAACTGGTCCCAGTAACTGGATTTTGGGGAGGGGGAAACTGATCAGGAATTTATTTATTAATCATATTTATGACCCTCTTACTCCTGATCAAACAAGCCCACAGTGATTCACAATATCAGTCAAATATTATCAATCAAATCACAGTTGCAAAAACATAAAACCACAGATACAATGTAAAATCAATAAAGAGAGAGAAGCAAATCAGTTTCTGTTTCAATATGTTTGGGTACAACCTCTGGTATGTTTCATGATAGATTAGATAAAATGCTTTGCTGTAGGATTATTGTTAATGTTGTTTGTAGAACAACCTATTTTATCCCTTGTATATTACAGTTATTGCATATGTACTCATGAATGACTAACATAATCTTTTGTGGGGTATTCTTTCTATTTGCAGTTTCTCCTTGCGAAGGAGGAGATGGCGACGAGAGTTCTGTGGATATTTATGATGGCTTAGACAGCACTCCAGTTGTTTCTAGTATGTTATTTGAACTATGAAGTTTTTTTTTTTTACTTTATTTTCCTCTAAAAAAAAATATGTTCTACTTTCCTCTAAAAAAAAAATAGATATTTTTCTCCCCCTATAGAAGAGCCTGGTGAAATGCTGAAAACCTGATGAAACAAAGACAGTCTCAAAGTAATTCAAGGAGTTTTATAAGCTTGATACCACCTCCAGTTTAGTAGCTTACTCTTCCAGGCTTTCAGTGCTAGGGGATTTTAACTTTTCTTGAGTGTGTGTCAAAGTCAGCTCAGAATTCATGGCTGCCAGGACAACTTTGGATTTCTCCCAGATCATCACAGGTCCTACTCATGGGGTGGGGTTTGGTGGCAACACACTGGATCTGGTATTTATTTCAGTGTAGATGAAACATGATCTGGTTACGGGGACATTACTAGCAGTTCCTTGTACTAACATATCATTTTCAGCCTTAATTGTGAGGCTCATGCCACCACCAGCTTCTGTATTGGGGAGAAACATATTTAAATAGCCTGTCCCACATGCCTTATGGATCTGTCTGGTTTTCAGAGGGGGCTTAGGGAATTTCCCAGAGATTTAGCAGGCAGTTTGATCAGTCATCTGCTTGACCTCTGATATACAGAGGCAGCAAAGGCACTACATAGGATTGCCTCTCCCCATTTATCACTCCTGGGGTTCTGCTTGGTTTAGTGACGAGCTCCAGGACATGAAATTAAGAGACAAAATGGTAGTGAAAAACAAGGAGCAAATATGATAAAATATGGGTATGAGCCAGATTAAGAGTTGCACCATGGCAGTAAGATCAGTAAAGCATTGTTAAATTCTTCACGCTTACTGCATCCGTGGAATGTTATCTAGTTGTACTGTTTAAAGTGACCAGAATCTTTGGGGGAATCTTAGAGTGGAAAAACTTCCAACAAGCCACTATGACTTTTTGCTAAGTATTTTGTACTTATCATGAATCATACACATTCACTTGGAGCTAAACACTGCCTAGGCAAAGAGCAGTCACTGGCAATTCACTGAACTATAAAAAGGAGGAAGAAGTACAGTACAATCAGACTTGCAAGATTCTGTTATTATAGGCAATCTCAATAAAAGTAGTTTTAGCCTTCCTCTGGAATTAATTTCCTTGTCTAGTCTACCTAGTGTGGCTAACACATGGGTTAAAGTATCAAAATGAGGTAATTACCAGTTGTACATTGCCACTCAGGGCTGAGTTGGAGCTACAGTGGAAGAAGTCTTGACTTGGTATCTGGATGGGGAGAAACAGGCTAAGATTTAAACCCAGCAAGGCATAATGACCATTAGTTCAGAAGCCTTCCATTCCTATTACAATTCCATCCTTAACTCCAGATGGAAGTGCAGTTCCCCAGAAAGAACAGGTCTGCAATTTGAGGTCCTCCTGGACCCACTCCTCCTGTTGAATGGTTGGTGGAAGGCATGAGTAGGAGAGTCTTTGCCAGTTCAGTTAATGTGCCAATGGAATGAGATACACTTATGACTGGATCACCTTATGGTTGGATTACCCAGGAGTACTCAAAAATTTGTGTTCAAACTGGTGTGAAATACCTCCTAATGGATGAGAGCTGATATTGTAATACCTTTGCTGTAGAGCAGCATTGGCTACCAGTCTGTTTCCAGGTGTAATTAAAGTGATGGTTTTCACCTATAAAGCCTTATATAGTTTGGTTCCTGGGTACCTTTGAGACTGTCTACACCCAGTAGGAACTAACAGAGAAGGTATGTTGTGAGTTCTTACCCTCTAGGAAATGGGTAGATTGGGTGCTCAGAAATTAATCTTTCTGTTATGGCCCTGCTATTTGTAATATTCTCCCACCTGAAGTTATGATTGCTACCTCCCTACTAATATTCAGAGTGGCATTAAAAATGCTACTCTTCCATACAGCTTTGGAGAATGAATACTGTTGTTACATCCAAACTAAATTTTGTTAGGTTCTTGTTCAAAACAGTTTTAAGAGACTGTTTTTGTAAAAATTATTATTTTTCTCAATATTAACAATTGTTTGATATATGATTGTTTTACTGTACTGGTTGTGAGACATTTAAGAGCCTTCCACTGAAGCAGCATACAAGTTTTATTAAATAAATAACTATCTCATCGGGGATTTGAACCTAAATCTGCTGTCTGATTATAATGCAGTGCAATAGAAGTGGTTTGCCCTCCAAAGAAGGTATATATATAAGTTAATAATTATAAGATTTGGCTTTAATACTGTATGAAATAAGAGTAAATAAAATAAAAATAATGATATTTGGCTTAGTTTTTGTGTGTGGAACCACAGAGTCACAATGTGAAGCTTCTCATGTGATTTCCAGGGTATGTGCTAGCCAATCATTACTACCAGCTTAATGATGCCTAGTAGTCTTCTTTCAAAGAAAATGAAGTATTCTTTAAAAAAAACAATCTCTTCTTTTCATCTTTCCTGCTTCAGTCAATTGTGCTACAAAAGTGCCAATCAGAAGTAGTTTAAACCTATTTGATGAAATCCTGATTGAGGAAGAAACAGCCAAGGAAGCTACTTTCAATGAAGTATGTATTTTAGATTGGTAATACATCAATGAAATAAGTTGCAGCTAGATAACTGTAACATTTCAGTTATATTTGTGCTTATTCTAACACATATAATTGAAAGTATTGTTGAACTTCAACATTTTCTGATTTTAAAATTTACTTTATAGAATTAAACAGAAGTTGCAGTTTGGATCCTAAGGAGAAAGGGCTTGATTTGGAATTTATTAATAATGAAATTTAACATAGTCAAAAACTAAAGCATAATTAACCATACTAACTGGATTTTGGCTTCTTTTGCTTTACAAATAGCACTGTTTGTCCATGTTGCAATAAAAATGAATGGAATACGTACTTTATATGTACATGTTTAGTTGGGGGTGAAAACATTTCCTTAAAACTCAGAAAACATTTGTATGACTTACTAAAACTATATTTGCTGTATCCAAAGTATGTTTTTTTTAATATAAATGAGGAAATCTGTGTCTTACAGTTGCAGGCTGAACATGAGAAATGTAAGCAACAACTTCAAGAGTTGACGAAGAAGCTTCAGGAAATACAAGAACAGGTGATATGACAATAAGTGGTAGGATCCATGACACACACACACACACACAGCAGAAAGTGCAAATGGGAAGAGCTTACTTCATGAAAATGACTATTTTTGAAAATATAGTGATAATTTAATAGAGTGCTGTAGTTATCATAAAACATTTAGCCTTGAAGATTAACATAATCCTATACATATTAACACGTTCTGGGCAGTGATAGTGATTTTCAGGACAGCGTCAGTAGGATTAATGGCTAAATCGGCAATCCTATATGTGCTTAACTAGGAAACATTAAATTAAATATGTTTAGAATATAACATATTTTTCTTGAGCTTGTTACAACAGAAAACATAATAAATTTAAATACACATTTTTCTTGAACTGATAACTTTATCATGTTTTTGTTCATATATGCAGTTTATAATCTGTTAAAGGTTGATATGTCTTTTCTGGCTTAGAATTCTCTTCTAAAAAGTGAAAATCAGTCCCTTAAAAAGAATATTTCAGCACTTATCAAAACAGCTAGAGTGGAAATTAACCGCAAGGATGAAGAAATCAGTAATCTGCAGCGAAGGTACGGAAAGTTGAGTTACACGTTGTTTTTGAAAGAATTTCATCTGTTTTTCAAAGATGAAAAAAGTAAAGAAAGAAAGAAAGAAAACCCTAACTCAAAATAGAAGTGTTCTTTCCATGCAAACATTTCCAAGCCCATGTGAAAGTTTGGTATCGTAAAGAAAAATTTATGCTATTAGCATTTATGTATTTATATTTCTTGAGATAAATTTTTAGGATAAAATCCAAACTTAATTTTATATAGAGAAAACACACTGAAACAAATGTAGTAAAATTGATTGTAAAAGTACAACTTGACTTCTAGTGGCATATTGATATAGTCTCTTGTCAGCAATGCAGCAATTTGCCGTTGCCTCTTGGGGTTTTTTTATTTCTTTCTAGCCTAGCCTATAAGTCTGGTATTCCTTGGAGATCGTTCATCCAGGTACTAAGCAGGCCCTGCTCTTCTTAACTTCCAAACTCAGACAAGATGGGTTAGTTGCTGCTACTTAATAAGACAAGCTAGTTCTGCTTTAAATATAATTAAGTTTGGGTTTCATTCAGTATTGTTTAAAATATCTGGATAATTCTTTGGGAGTGTTTATCTGCACCAAATAATTGATTGCATTCCTAGCTTTATGTTTACTATACCTTCCCCTGGGTATTTAATCAAAATCCCAAGTTTGAACATAATACCAAGCTGTTCCTTGATTTGTCTGTTCAGTTGCATGGAAGGAAGAGTTAATGGGATGATGCACTGACCTACATGTTTACATTCTATTTTTTTATAATATTTTTTATTAAAGATTACAATTAGAAAACATAAAAACTAATACAAGCTACAAAAAAATAAGAATAAAAAAAAGTGTAGAAAAGGAAAAAAAATAAAAAAATAAAGAAGTAACTTCCCCCTTCATCACAACAAGTATAAACAATTTTAGTAATTTTTCACCATCTCTTAAAATACAACAGGTACTCTCTTCATCTCATATCTCATCTCTTAACTACAGGTAATCCCCAGTTTAAGAATGAATTCCATTCCCAAAGTCTGTCCTTAAGTTGAATTTGTATGTAAGCTGAAACAGTATTATTGTAGTATTGTGTATTTAACTCAAATTATTGTGAATTTAACTCGAATTTTGCTACACTAGGCTCCGTTCTTAACTATGGGTCATCTGTAAACTGGACTTTCTTAACTCGGGGACTACCTGTATAAACAAAATCCAGAAGCCTCATCATTCATTCATTATCAGCAAAAGCCCATTAAGGATTACCAGAAATAACTACATATCTATTTTAGCCTTGATCAAATAAACCAACTCTATATTCCTTCCCTGTACTTTTAACAATCTTGGTCTTTAATCATGTCCTTCAAATTATGTCCTAAAGTTTCTTTTCTTTTCTTTTCTTTTCTTTTCTTTTCTTTTCTTTTCTTTTCTTTTCTTTTCTTGTCTTGTCTTGTCTTGTCTTGTCTTGTCTTGTCTTGTCCCTTCTCAGAGGATCCTTCAAGACTTTAACAGATCTTAAGAAAAGGTTATCCAAATCACTCTTCTGGTTTGATACTTGTATGCCCCCTTTAATTATTAAGACACCAACTGGTTTCATTTGTATGTCCAGTATATCATCTTGTTCCACATATGTTTACATTCTAGATTATTAGCTCAGGATTCTGCACTTGATTCAATGTTCATATCTCTGGTGAAAATGTTATTGAATCTGGTGTCTTTGCTTTCTTAATGGTTATAAAATGATATTAAAGTTAAAATATATCTGTTGGATATAAATATGTATTTTTCTTATTTTTGAAGACAAAACGTAGTTGCATATAGATCCCAAAACTGGTCTAACCAAACATAGTTGAACACGTTACATTGAATTCTGGGTATTGATGAATAAAAACTAGGCTGAGATGGAAAGAGAAGGAACAAAATACAAGAATATCATTGCCATACACTTGAGAGTTCTCCCTTTCTGTGTGCTTAAAATTAATGTAGGCCTTAAAGCAATTATTTGCAGAACTGAATTTAGTTGTTCAATAAATAGTTTAATCAACACATGATTTGATATTAGGTAGAGCCAATTTTAACTGGTGGAGGTACACTTGTTCTGGTTATTTTGGTTGAGGTGTATGACTGAATTAAGAAATAGAAAATATTAAATTGGTATTTTTTGTACAGTAATCAGTATCTGTTTTCATCAGTTGCAAAAATTTCATCTGTTTATTGATTGTGGTAGAGGGTATATAGCCTTTTTAACAGCCTAACCTTATTCTCTTTTACTCAGCTGTGTTATTATTATCTATGTTTGTATCTCAATTATCTGTACTAGTTTATTTTTAGAGCAAAATCCAGTGAGACATGCGAATTAATAACTTTAGATTTGAAATAAAATTATGCTTTTATAAAGTAGTCCTGGGAAACTGCATGAATGCCCAATCTTTGCAATTAAAAAATAATTTGTCTATTGAGGGATGGCCATAGTGGTAGAGTACATACTTTTTATATGGGAAATCCAAGGTTTATTCCCTAACTTCATTTAAAATAGGATCAGATCAAGTTGTAGATAGATCTTGTGTATCAGTAAGAGAGAAGCAGTCCTATGTTCTTCAGCATAATTTGGTATATTTTTTTTTCTTCTGATGTTTTCAGGTTTTCATGTAAGACAGTCCTCCATACTAGATTGAGTTTATAGGTAATAGGTAGCCTTTAGAGAAATTATTTTTGATCTAATTAAGAAATAGTTTTTGCAACTTATTGGTGATCAAAAAGTCTTATTGATTTAATCTAACTGATCTGCATTAACATTTTTTAAAAATTTATAAAATTTTTGTATGTGGTTACTGTTGTGAAAACTATTCTACAGTGGTAACGAATGAGTCAGGCATAAAACAATTCTTACCATAATCATACCATATCACAACTACAAATACCTGGAGCAAAGCGATATATTCAAAAGATCAGTTGTTTAAATGTAAACTAAATTTTGATTTAGCATTAACTTTTAACTTTGTAATTTTAAAATCTTAATAAAATACTATTAAAATTTTGATTTAGCATTATAAGTGAGATTTTGCTCATACAATCTTCCCCCATTCTAGTTACAGATCTTAGGAAGAAGATGAACCACATTTACCCATTTATATGGGGCTTATAAGCCACTCCAACCAGAACCAACTCTAAATGTTTCTCAACTTGCTGTGTTGTCCAAATCTGGACAATTTGTAGTTGACTATGTTTTTTAATAAAATTATTAAGTCTAATTCTTCTTTATAAAAATCTGAAGGCAACAGTGTACATATTTATTTAACATGCTGGCCTTCCTCATTATTGCAACTTAATGCAAGCAATTGATACTTTACTAGAATGTTAAGGCTGTTTAAATTTTGAATAGTTGTTTTACAATGTAGCATATTAAAATAGTCTCTTTATTAACAGGTTAATGGAAGCTCCAGTTCATCAGAGTACCTACAGTAGAACATATACAAGGAACTTCGAAGGATCAAAACCAAAAAATAAATCCAGAGATTTCATTCCAGAAAATAATTCAAAAGCAGATCCTAAAAGTAAACAAGAATTAGCCAAAGATGTATCTCATAACTATTCATCTTGGGATACAGAAAATAAGAAATTTCATTTAGAAAAAAAAGATACTTCTTATATATCTCAATCTCATCCTGAACAGCTTCACAGAGATGGTGTTCAAACAAAGCTGATAAAAGTTGACAGCTCTTGTGATAAAGAAAAGGGGAAGAGGGAAATGAAAGATAATGAACATTATAGTAAGGATAATGACTGCAGATACAAAATAAAAACATACAGAAATGTTGGAAGTCCTGTTGATGGCATAGTGGATGCTCCTGGAAAGTCACAAGTTAACCCAGAAAAATTAATCAGAAATGGACTGTGGAAAGATAGAAAAGACTTAAAAGTCAAAAGCAGTTGGTATGAAGAAAAAAGAACCGATAATGTCTCTTCTACTAAGGAAAAACAATCAGTTCCTAAGGACAAATTAATGCTTAAAACTGAACACATTAGTGATGATAGGGTTGAAAAATTACAAATCATAAACCAGAAGGACTTAAAAACACAGAACAAAGAGGAAAGCAGTAGTAGACAAAAAAACAGACAACCCAATAGATATGTAGAACAACAAAGAACTGGTAAAGTTACTAATCCCCCCGAAAATAATACACTTGTCAGAAATCCTAAAGAATTAAGTAAAGGTTACATAGAGGACAATAAAATAAAACATACTGATTGTAGGAAAAATAAAGGAACAGATGATCCTGGGCTCCAAGGAGGGAAGTCATCATTGCCACACAGTTCTAATAGAGAGAGAAAACCTAGTAACTCAAAGGAAGATAGCAGAAAATGTGAATTTGAACGCACCCATTCAAAATCAGATAAATATCGAACAGAAGCAGAAAGGAAAAATGAAAGAGACAAACCTAGAGAAAGCAGAAATTCTCGAACTGAAAGACGAAATTCAAAAGAAACTCCACAAAAGATAGTAAAAGAAAACATTAAGATAAAAGACAGTGTGAAGAGAGAGAAAAAGAAATCCTTTCCACCCAAAGAAATTGCCAAGATAGTTGAGGTTATGGACAAGCAGATGCCCACTAAGATGGAAAGGGATGAAGAGCAATCAAAAAGCAAAGACTTAAAATTGAGCTTCATGCAGAAACTAAACTTAACTCTATCACCTGCTAAGAAACAGACAGACAAATCCAAAATAGCAGCAGAGACTACTAACGAATGTGAGATGGAAGGTCCAAGTCAGGAAATAATATTACTACCCACTGAACCAACTAATGCCACTAGCGAAGCAAAAATGCCTTTGGGACCAATCCATAACAGTCCCCTTCAAACCAATTTGGAAAAAATAGCATATGTTTCTGAGATCAAAGCAAATCAGCCAAATGAGACTCCAGCAGAAATTTTGGATATTAAGCCACCTAAAGCATCCCCACAAAATGCAACACTGCAGCATGAATTGATTGGTAATGAGAAACTCCTCCATCCTCCTGAGATTGAGATGCAGGGATCTGAGGAAATATGTGTGGCACCTAGCCTAGCAAATCCCATGGATCCAGATACACTGTTAGATCATTCTTTCAATGACCTGGAGACTGTAAGTTCTGTAGATTTTGATACATTTAGTGTAATAGATGAGATCAATGGGACGGATTCAGACTCATCCATGACAAAAGAAGAATCCAGTAATTGTGCAGATAAAAAGATCTTGGAGTGCTCTGAAAAAGAAAGCATATCTCCTCTTCATAAGACTACTATAGAAGATGATAAAATACTATGTGTAAATATTTCAATAACTGACCAAAAAGCTGAAAATTCGAATCCAAGCTTTCCTGATCATGGAAACCAAATGGAATCATGCAATAAAGGGTTAAATGCTACATCTCAGACAAGAGACTCAAATCCAGTTTCAGTTGATGATGATAACTCAGTACTGAGCATTGATCTAAATCATATGAGGTACATCCCAAAAGCAATCAGCCCTCTTAACAGTCCAATACGACCCTTGGGTAAAATCTTCAGAATGGAAAGCTCTTACAAAGGACCCGTGACAACTTATAATACAGGTATACTTATCATATTTTTGTTGTACTTGTTACAAAAATGTATTCCTTTTCTGGCAGGATTGTATGCCTTTGGAGGGAGTGTCTTTATGCCAAAAGAAAACAAAAAAGTCCGTAGCATAATACAAAGTACAGCAGTAGCAAACTCATTTTTCCTTCCATCTGTTTACTTCCTGCTGGTTGGAGGTTTGGAGATGAGCTTGAGTACTGTACTTTCTTTCTTTCCCACTGATTAATATAATAATTCCTCATCTAGTGAAACTACAGTTTACCCCAGACCTGCAGAATACAATTTACTCAAGCCCCAAAAATGTAGGTTACAAATTATAGTTTGATTCTGGTTTGCAATGCTAATTTTTAGGATTTGCTCAAAACTTATTTTGGTGATCCAGGTGTGAAATAACCAACAAGCTTCTGTTAAGCTGTGAGGCAGGTAGGAGAAAGTCCTTACAAGGATGGGTAATCCAGCTTCCAACTTTTGAAAAACTGGGTCAAGAAACTGGCATAATTCTCAGTTAGTCTCACACTGAAAAAAAGATGATATTAGAAGCGTGGCTTTAATTTTACCTCCTCAAAAGCCAATTAGATAGGTAAGTTTCTTTTTAGATATTTCTTATGAAAAAGCAGTTTGGCTGTAGTGGAGGAAAACCACATTCTCTTTCATATCTGTTCAATCATCTTGGTAATTAATGATTCAATTTATGCAGCATTTTCCATTGAGGTTTAATGGGGAAATGCTAGTTTCAAATTTCTAATCCCAGAAGCCTTACTGGATGGCTGTTAGCAAATGCTAGATCTGAGTGAGTGAATAGATATTACTAACATAATAATTAACTGGAGTGTTGATCCTAAGCATATTCTTTTAATTCTAAGTCTGATTTCCAGCAGAACTGAATTGCACATAGTATAATTGGAATCTGATTCCAAGTTAGATGGCAGCTGTTGTAGTACTTTCCTATACAGTAAGTCTACCATATTTGGTCAGCAGAAATCTGGATGACTACTTGAGATACGGAAAAAACTATCTGGCTTCAATCTGGTGATCATATAGATTTTTGCAGCCCAAATAGGGTAACCCTACTAAATATGCTACACTTTAGGTGCCTATATTTTAAGGATAAACTTGGCATATCTTACTTCTGAGTAAACAAAGTATGCACAGCTACAATGCAAATCCATTTAACTCAACATTTAACTTTAAACCTCATATTCTGAGGTTGATCTTTTAGATTCACACAGATTGTTATATGAACATTGCTTAAGATTTTTAGTGACAGTTTATTGAAATGTGGAGTGCAACTTCAGTCTTGTCAACAATTAGTTGCTAGAACAGTGATCCTTAAAATCCCATTATAATTTATGTTGCATTTCCAATATTTAGTGTGAAGTGGTTTCCATGAAAACATTTTTTTTTCAGTTCCAAAGATTGGTTTATTTTATTTTTACCCAGCTCTTCTTCCAAAGAGCTCAGATCTAGCATCTGTAGTCACCCTTGAATTTTGTCATCCTAACAACTCTGTAAAATAGGTGAGGCTAAGGGAAAATGTGTCTAAGCCAGTTATGTATTCAGCTTTATGGCTGGGTAGGAATTTGCATATAAATCTCTCTGCTAATATATTAGTCATTATACTATATAGCTTCTCAAAGCTGCCTCTTTAAAATGTGAAATGCAGAGTTATTGGCAATTATAAGTGGAAATATTTAGTCCTGAAATGAACAGCAACTGAATCATACTGTAAAGCAGTTTGTTTTGACACTTGCTTTTTGGAGTGATATGTTACTAACTTAATAACTGTTCTATTGGTCCTAGATGTTGCTCCAGATAGTGCAGTTGTTTATCTGGGGAGGAACCATTCAAGTGAACTCAACAAAGAAAATCAAAAGCCACTTTGCAGTGATCACCAAATCTTAGAAGAGTCTCAGCTAAGCATGTCTTCAGATGAATTAGAAGAAGGAGAAATTGTAAGTGATGCTGATGATGAACCTAAAATAGAAAGGAAATCTGAAAATAGTAAAAAATTGAAAAGAAAAACATCTCCTGAGAGATCTAATACATCCAAGAATACATGCAACCACAAGGCCAAATATGTACCTTCCAACGAAGGTCCTGGAAAATTGGCCTCTGGGAAAAAAAGTAAAGAAAAGCCTAAAGATGGAACCGCAATCTTCTCAAAGGAAATGAAGAAAAATAAAGCTGTGAGCATTGATTGTCTTGAAAAAATAGTTCAAATTACTGCTGAACCTTCTACTCTACATGAATTTATGCAGATGCTCAAAGCTATAAGAAAACAAGTACGGAAAAACTATATGAAATTTAAGATACAGTTTCCAATACAGCAGTTTCATAAAATAATAGATTCATCAGTTCTGAATTTTACATCTTTGGTAAAATATATTGACTTCTCTAAAATGTGTAAATCAAATGAGGCCATAAAGATAAATCTCTGTGAAGTTATAGAATCTGAACTCAGTCAGATTAAAAAAAATACTGCAATAGAATATCTATTTGAGAAGCAACAATCAGATATGAAGAAAAAATTGTGGAAACTTGTGGATGAACAACTTGATTTTCTGTTTGATAAAATAAAAGAAATTCTCCTAAAGCTGTGCAATTTGATAAGTTTGGGAAATGAGAATGATGATAGTAAGCGTGGCAAAAGAAGGAAAGAAAGCTCAAAATACCTTGTCAATAATAAAATTGACAGACAGAAATCAAAGAAACCAGGCTTAAATGCTAGAATGAAAAAGCTGGAAGAATGTGTCCTTCCAAAACCAGTTATAGGTAACTGTCTGTCTAAGGCAGATCACCAGGAAACAAATAAAATAGCTACCCACAAAAATATAGTTACAAAATATAAATATTCCCATACAGATAGCACAACACATTCTCACCCTGAAATTGCACATTTTAAGCAGAATTCCACAGAGGATACTGCTTTGAAAACTGGAAAATACGAAAAGGAGGGATTGGATATGATTGGAGATCCTCACAAATCTGATATCAGCTGTGGACCTCTAACAGAACAACAGATGTCTGGGCTGACATTCAATTTAGTTAATGACGCTCAAATGGGTGAAATGTTCAAAAGTTTATTACAAGGCTCTGGCCTTTCAGAAAAGAGCGTTGACTTCATTGATGAAAATCAGTGGGAATTCAGAACACCAGAAAAACAAATTCCAGAAGGTCAGAACTGTGGAAATAATCCTGCATATGAGACTGAAGAAACAATTTCAAAGGAAATCCAGGTAGAATCAAGAGTACTTGATGGCATTAAGTGGCCCATAGTTTCACCTGAAAGAGATTCAACATTTTTAGCTAGATTGCAAATGCCCATTGATCCAAATATTCTAGATGAAAGCTGTATGTTTGAAATTCCTACTAGCCCTACCTTGAAGAAAGGTGAGGTATGTGTTTTGGAAAAACCAAAATCTCTTGTTTCTTCTATTCTTTTGGAAGACCTAGCAGTGTCATTGACTATTCCCTCTCCTTTGAAGTCAGATGCTCATCTTAGTTTCTTGAAACCTGACGTATTTGGATCAGTTCCTGAAGATGTTCTAAATGCACACTTCAGTGAAGATGCTCATCTAGAAGAGGAGGATGCTTCTGAACAAGACATCCATTTGGCTTTGGAATCTGATAATTCAAGCAGTAAATCAAGCTGTTCTTCATCATGGGCAAATATCCCTGCTGCTCCTGGATTTCAGTATTGTCCAAGCCTTCCAATGCAGGCAGTAATAATGGAGAAATCAAATGATCACTTTATTGTTAAAATAAGGCGTGCTGCACCATCTACCTCTCCCACTGATCAAACAGCCATACCAGATGAACCACTGATCTCTGTCATTGAAAAAGAGAAGGATGAAATTATGTATGAAGAAAATCTTGGTACTTTAACTTCCCAAAGTATCCCTTCAGGAGAGATAAAAATGTCTAAAGAAGTTATAAATACTGATGACTCTCAAAAAAAAGTGGATAACCATATTATGGAAAAGCAGGTTTCTAACTCATTGGAACTTGTGAAAAAAACATCTGTCTGTCTTGAGACTGATTCAGTTCCTGACTTTTTTGAACCTCAGCAAGAATTCCATCCTGGTGGTGATGTTAATACTGTAGAATCCCTGCTTCATAAAAACAGACAAGAACAATCCTGTAGCATCTCTGAATTTCAAAGGCCATTTTGTAATACAAGCCAAACTCAAGGCCCTAATTTGCTTGCTTCCAATCAGGCATTGCATAATGATGCTGCCTCAGAAAGACAACCTGACTTGCAAGACCCTCCTGAGGAACTAAGGATATCTGCAGTGTCTTTGGGAGAACCCTCAAATAAAATAAGTCAAAATGCAGGTGCACCCGAGGTTTTTAAGCTTCCTCAAACAATCCCCATGAAAGTGTTCCAGGAACAAAATATACCTTGTGCTAAAGTAAAGGATTTCCCAGTTAGGTCAATAGTAGTTCCACCTGTGGAACAGCTATCCTCTCAGAATCATTTTGATATACATATGGGCTTAACTGATGAGACTCCTACGGAAAATAAACTTAATTCACAAGATCTCACAGAACAGTCTGCTTTAAATTGTAGAATGAGAAGCTTATGTAAAAATCAAGAGAAACATAAAGCAGATAGTCATTGTGAAGTAGCTGATGTGTCAAAGACTGATGATGAAGAAAACGTAAATCAGCTAGACATATCTACAAGAGATGGCAATTTTGAAAAAAATATTACTCTTAATATGGATGGTCAAAGATGTCCAATTAAATTTGACAAAGAAAGCAAAAAAAGGAAAAAGGAAACAGAAGAAGCATCTAGTGCAAAAAAGCAAAGAAAGGAAAGTAATGAATTAACTTTTAAAAAAACTGGCAAAAATAGCAAAAACTCAAAAGAGAGAACTTCTGTAGCCTCAAGTTCACCCAGTACAAAGCCAGCCTCAGTCAGGGACAAAGATCTATTATCCTCAGCATCTTTTATGTCACCATCAAATCTATGTGCCAAAAATATCATTAAGAAGAAAGGAGAAGTTGTAATTTCATGGACAAGGTAAGAATACTGAAAAATGAACTACAGTTTTGACTAGGAGAGTGAAAGTGCAATAGATCGAGATTATGTTTTGCTTTCTAATACACCACATCATGGGCATTAGCGCTGCTTACTCCTAATTAAAGGATTTTGGAATGCTGAATAAGAATGCATTCCCATTGTAGATCTCATTAAACATTATGGCATTCCTTGGTAATGAGTGCATAGCTATCATTTACTGCAGGCTCAACTTCTTTAATCTTTGTTCTGGCAGAGATAGAGTAAATATGCAGTCTTCCATTACTTGCTATGAAAATTGTATAAGCTGAGAGAGGGGAATTTAGAAGCCACTCTGAACATATGGTACAAAATTGTTCCCTCATCTGAATAATAGGGATGTGTAGTTTGTATATTGCATTGTGTATATCTGTAACAGCCAGTTTCCATCTGGAAATGTCAGCATTTTACAATTGAGCATAGTAGAACAAGTCATTATCAATGCATTTGCAACATTTATTATCCTTAGTTCAAAAAAGACTCTCAAATCAAGTCGTAATGAAAACAAATGCTAAAGGATTTTTAAAAAAAGACCTCAAAATGATAAATGAAAAAGCCTTTGCCTAACAGTTGAAAGTTGAAAACAGTGATGCTGAGGCATGGATCTTTGAGCAGAGCATTATGTGAATCTTTTGGTCCCAGCCTCTGGTTCTGCATCTTTAGAAGGCAAGGGCATTCCACAGAGACATTTAGAAAATTAATTCAAGTGCATGAAGAAATAAGCAGTCTTAGTCATGCATGCTTTTCCCAGAAGGTGGGCTATTATATCTGTGGCGGCTTTCTTAAATAGACCCTACAAATTATTGTTTTGCAAATGGTGCTAGAAAGCTCTAGCAGCTCTCTCCCTTGCACAAGTAGTTTCTAGAGGCCCCTTTAGGAATCTGAGACATTGAAGTATTTTACCTATGTAGCCTATATGTTGTTGGACAGTAAATGGAAAATATCTGAAGAGGAGAGAGGATGAAACAGAATGACCACCAGGAAATTAGTGAAATAAAAGAACAAATATTGATTGCTTAGATAACCTGTAGTTATGTAATTTGTCATTGAATTGATTTTTTTTCTTTTTCTTATTGGTTATAGCTTTTATATTGCATACATGACTAACTCAGATGTTCTAGAGGTTCAAATCTGCCAGCCAGTTTCTGCTCAGAGGCCATAGTCTTAACTCTTCACTAAAAAGTATTTCTGAATTTGACTTTTTATCAGTTCTACCTCAATTGAATGCTAAAATTGGAAATAGTTGTAATACTTTAGATTTTGTTGTTGTTGTTCAGTCGTTAAGTCGTGTCCGACTCTTCGTGACCCCATGAACCA